TGCCTTTACATTTTGAAAATCTGAAATTCAGATGGACAGGCAGGCAGTAGGCCAAATGGTTTGAGGATAACTTATATAATAAACTGCACCAAAGTAAATAGTGTAGTAAAAAGTCAAAACTTGAAGTTTTTACATGTTCAGCATCTCCCCCAAGAGATGCAAATTGCTGGATGCAAATTGCTGTCATGACCTATGAGTCACCGGCACCAGAGTGTGCAAACATGTAATCCTTAATCTCCCCTAAGAGATGCAAATTACTGTCATTTGACAAGGTCCTGGTAAATGAAGGAGTTTCTGGAAAATGCTGGGAGTCCTAGTGTTAGTGGACACAATGACACACAACATAACTCACATTTTATACCAGTAGCTCACAGATGCTCTAACTTTTGTGAGTTTTTCACAGACTAGTTCTAGAAGCTTATGCTAATAACATAGGCAGTAAGCAGGAAGTGGAAGGGACGTGCGTGGCAAGAATTTTACCGGAAATACGTCATTAACGGCCATGGCATATAGGCTATTTCTGAGTGATGGACAATCCTTGTTGTCATGTATTTCACTATATTTAATAAACTGGTTTGTTTGTTTTCTATGAAGGTGGGAGTGGTGTGTAGTCTGCAATTCTAAAGTTCTAGTGCATATTCAATTCAATTCAAAAATACTTTATTGATCCCAGATGGAAATTAGATGTTGTTGTAACTCATTTAACTAAAGACATGTCCAATAAAACTGAGCAGAAGCTAAATCTAAAGTGCAAATTTGCATCAGCGTTCACCAGATTAAATTCTAGTTTTAATTTTAATCATTGCACAATACTGCCAACTAGAGGCACAGCAGTTTATTTTCTGTCCCCTGCCGAGTACTGTCTCAATTGGAAGGCTCCTCCTCATACGGCAGAGGAATGCGGCCCACAAAATCTCAGAAATCAAGGAGGCATCAAAGTATCCTTCCCAGCTCAGGATATCCCAGGAATCAATGCACCAACAGCAAAATAAACAGAGAAACAAAGACGGTGGCATTTTTATTTGTTTACCAAGTCAGCATAGTTTGGAAATCCATCACAGACTGAATGATTTGTTTTTAAATTTAAGTTTAGTCACTTATCTGATGAAATTTACGCTGCAAGGATATGATAAACAAAATGCAGCTACAAGCAAAACCCAAAGTTTTGTTTTATTTATTTACATGTAAGTTATTCTAGTGAAAAGATGGTGAATACATGTCCCAATGCATTTTAAGTCTGACATGAAACCAATCACTGTATTAACAGGGTAGTGCTTGGTCACGCAAACATACGCCAAGCTGAAGTCAAGCAAAGGCTAGACCATCTCATTTCACAGCAGTTTCATGTATGTCTACTCAGACTACGAATGGTGTGACCCAAGTGGTCCAGGAGGACTACGTACTTATGAGGATGCAGTCCATGAACTAAGACACAGTGCAATATGACGTGAGACAGCGGGTTGATACCTGAAGATGCAGTGGGCCATAAATTGTCATAATTACTCCCTCTACCCTCCCAAAGTTCATAAGTATGTGAACAACAATAATGATGACAGGATATTGTGTTGTTGAGTGAAGAGTCCACAAAGGAAATAACTTTTTTTTCTGTTAATGGTAGCGATGGAAATAAAAGACGTCATGTGAATATCAGCTAATGTTCCATGAGATCAAACCAGCTGCAGCTACCGTAGGAACACTATGAAAGAAAATTTTAGTGGTTTTGTAACAAGGACTTTTTCATATCACGGTATACTATGAAACCGGTATCCGGCCCATGCCTACTTGGAAACCACACTGATATACACAAATGCAAAAGCTCTAAGTTGATTCATGATTTTCTTTGTCTTTTTTTTTTATTTTAAAGCAACTTTATTCAACTTATTCCTTGAATATCATCATGCATAGAAGGTTGAAGGAAAAGGGCAGATGTTTTTTCTTTTGTTTGTTTTGTTTTCACTCTGAGAGTTTAGGAGCACATTTAATTTTGCTTTTATAAAATAAAACATCACTATGTTTGAACAGTATCAGATATTTTATTGATTTTTGTGTTTCAGTATCTTTTTGTTGTTGAAGATGAATTTTAAGGCACAGCAATCTCGGGATGAATACTGATGCTACTCATTAAAGTTTGACAGGAGACCATTATGCCCATAGACATAAATTACTTAGGAGCAAAACAAGAGTACATCCTTCAGATGCTGGTCTTCCAAGTTACGGTAAAATCAAGATGCAGAGGAATGGATTTGTCCGTGGCATCTATAATCAGCTCCTATGTAGAGAAAAAAAAGACGAAAGTTAAGAAGAAAAATTCCATAAAATACAGTGTTATATGTGTAAACAATTGTTTTATACATATCTATGACTGACTACAAACATGCACACCAAAATTAAAGTTAACATATGTCCAAACAGGTGTCATTGAGGCATCAATAGACATTTAGAGGTTTATTTAATTAAAAATGACATGACACTGAAGCTGTTTCTGCTCTTTTTTTTCTGTGAATCTAATTATATTGTGCAATAAACTTGTGTGACTGTGATTTTTCATCTTGTTCAAACAGAAGGAGCTCTCCAACCTAACTGTATTTATATGACAGACCAGCTGCCAATGGTTTTTCTTACAGGATGTCAAAATGTAACCTTTAGGTTAAAAGCAAAAGTGGATTATCTCACAGTAAAAAGTCACTTGTTTTATATTCTCTCTTTCACATCCCTTTCTCTTATTCCTCTGCCCTTTCCTCGTCTTAATCCCTTTTGTTCATTCTTCCTGTTTATCTTTTTATATCATGTTTTCTTTCTCCATCTTTTCTCTGTGACATCCTCCCCACCAACACTGTAGTGCCTCCTCTGTCCTGATGAAAGAATGCACCTTTTTTTGTCTTTTCATTATTCTCAACCCATTCTTGCATCCTCGAAACACTCTCTCTCTCCCACACTTAAAATTCCTCTCATCTTGCCTCGATCCATCTTCTCAAACATCAAATCGAAAGCTTCGGGGCCTTTTTCACCTCTGATTATTTATGGAGTTGCAGTAGTTATCATTTTCCTGCTCCTGAGATGTGTGCTGAGTACAGCATACAACCTTGGCAGAAATATTTTCTTGTTTGTTTTTTTAAGAGGCCATGTGCAGAAAGAGCTAAAGCTGGACAATGCACTCATTCTTATTTTTTTCTTAAGAAGTTGTTAAATGTAATCTTCACACTCTAATTCCACTGTATAGTAGCTTTTATTCATCTTTGTATAGTAATATTTTCTACTCTTTTAAACTCTTATTTGTTAATGAACACTTTGGATTTTAGTTTACTAGCATATCCTCAAGCCCCTTATTTTAAAGGGCTACTCTGGTCAATTCTATATATAATATAGGTCCAACTACTTTCAATATTTTTCAAATAATTTAAGATTTTCATGTTTTTTTTTCAACTGCCCTTCTTTAGCTAATTTCAGTCATTTTCTGTGTTTTTAGCTAATTTTAGCTATTATTTTATTTTTGCTTTTGTTTTGCTTGTTTTTCGAATCTTTCAACATTAAGCATTCACATTGCATTTTTACAAGAAATGCAAATTCTAGTTTGAGTTGTTTTCTCAACTGAACAACATCCATATTACTATATGTGTGCACGTCTGCTAAATGTCTCTGTCTGCTGAGAGTTAACTATGGAACTCGGATGAAAAAAACAGTGACAAACCACATCTTTTGACTCTTTCTCCATACTGTTCTACTACTTTATGACTGATGCCACAGTTTATAAGGACATAACTATTTATACTGACAAAACATCTCTTCAGAAATGAATAGACTGTCTTTTTAATGCAAGATATGTTAAACATGAGCTTGGTTTAACATAAAACTGCTTAAGATTTATTATTATGTTTTATTGTATATAAACCATTGAAAAAAATTACACAAGCAGCATTTCAGATCTCCATCCTGAGTCAAGTGCTCCTTTCTGTGTTTATTACAAAATGAAGACAAAACAACAGTGTCACAGGAAAGACAGCATTGATTACAGCTATTAGACGACAAAGTGCAGCCCAGCAGGGGGTGGGGCTCTGAACCCGAGATTTTTTGCTTTAGTGAGTATTTTCTGCTGGCTGGAGAATGCTCAGTCAACTCCAAAGATAGTGCTTGTTCATAAAATGTGTCAGAGTGCACATGAAAACATAAAACAAAATAAAAAAACAGCTTTCACTGGGCTACAAGGGTGATGCTCGAAAAGATTACACACGTCAGACAGTGAAGAATATGTTTATGTTGAGGTTATTAGAGCAGAAATACAGCCAAGTTCACATGGAAGAGGGACAGGAAATTGTAGTCCAGTGTTTATCAATAAATGCTAGGATTTTTTTATAGAACACATCAGTGTTCTATAAAATCAGGAATCAACATCATCTTTTTATATAAGCTGTAGTATTTTGCAGTTAAATAATAAATAAATTCATACGTCCCATTAGCTTTAATTTTTAAAGCAATATTTCAAATATTTCAAAGTGCTGTTCCATGCAAAGGATGTGAACATGTGAAAATGTAAATGTTACAGATAACTGTTTCAGTATTCCATAAATCAATTTTGATCAAATAAACGAACAATTCATACAATAAGAGCAAAAGCCAACTTTGTATTGTCGTAGAAAACCATTTCAGTCTCATAAAGCTGAACACTTTCAGTATTTTTTAACTTTAACATATTTGGATGAAATTTATTTTATGAGAATAAAGAATGAAATAGATGAATAAATGAATATTTTTTTTAACTTTATTTACAAAACAGTACCAAGACTGGATGTATTTGACTGTTCAAAAAGATGGTTCTCTGAAATCTGATTGAGAATACTTTGCTTTTTTCTTTTTATGTTCCTTTTAGTCTTTGCCTCATTGATTTTAGCTTTTACCTACTATTTTGTTACCTTTTGCTTTTAGCTGCTGTTGTGCTAAATTTAACTTTTACCTTTCTTTCTAGCTAAAGTTATGCTAATTATAGCTTCCAGCTCTACTGTTTAGCTTATACGTATAACACTTGTGGTGATTTTTTTTTCTACGATTTTGTTAAAATGACCTTTCAGCTGTGTTTTTTGCTGATTGTAGCTTATATTTATACTTTTAACAATTCCTATAAATTATTATTATTCAGACTTTCAGTGGTCATTTCACTTTATGAAATTAATTGTAATTCATGTATTCAAATACATGCATTTTATTCATTTCTGATGACTAAATAAGCAATCACTTTAAATATACCTTTGGTGACACAACAATTTGATCAATTATATAT